CCAAAGTGCTGGGATTACAGGCTTGAGCCACCGCGCCCGGCCTCCCTTGTATTTTAATAGACCATAATATTGTTCCTATGGCCCTCAACTCTTAGAGCAGTTGATCTTCCCGAAAGTCTAATCATCATAAACAAATTTATTTTCTCTGGACACATTTCTTTGCCTTCTGCAATCAAACATGATTTGATTAACTCATCACTGGTAAATTACTTTCTTTGCTTGGGGTAGACATAGAAGCTGAATATTTGAATATAAAAATGTACTGACTGTAGTTGCTACCTCATTTTCAGTATTTTTTTTGTGGGGGGGAGAAATTCTGCTCTGATGAGACATTTTATTTAAAATTTTCTAATTTTTTTTAGCATAGATACGTTGTCACTGCATAGGAAGCACAATAATCATAATAAGCTTTGTCATCTAATTCATTAACAAAGTATTTCACCTCCATTGTGCCTTATACAAAGTCTGTTTTTCTGTTTTTTTTTTTTCCTTGTGTTTGCCTTGATGAGAATGTACTAGTACCACAAAATTTAAAATGTTGTGGTACAGCAATACATATGGCACTTGAAATGCTGTTCTTGTTCCCATTGCCCTCAACAGGGCAATTAACAGCATTTAACCCAATTAAGTCAACCCAATGCTGAGTCACTGTGATTTAAATTATGCTTAGCAACAATACAAAGAAATGAGAGTGCCACCTATGGTCTCTGTTATAACTACATAGCCCTGCTGCTGTAATGCAAAAGCAGCCATAGGCCGTCCGTAAACAAATGAGCATGGCTGTGTTACAGTAAAATTTTATGGACACTGAAATTTGAATTTCATGTAATTGTCACATCACAAAATAATTTTTTAGGATTTTTTTCAACCATTGAAAAATAAAACATTCTTAGCTTACATCCTGTATAAAAACAAGCAGTGGGCTGGATTCGGCCCAGCCATATTTTGCCAGCGTTGATTTTGTCTAGTGTTTTTGTGTTTTCAATTTCATTGATTTCTGTCTTAGGTTTATTATATTCTTTTTTCTGCTTGCCTTTAAGACCTCTTTTCTAATATATGCATCATTGCTATATATTGCTCTATAGTATCTGCTTTAGCTGCATCTTTTACATTTTGATATGTTGCATTTAAGTCTTGATTCCACTTAAAATATGCTCTAATTTATTTTCTTAAAACATTTCCACTTCACTACATCTAATTTCTTTTGTGGCTAATTTCATTGGTTGCTTAGAAGTATGCTGCTTAATTTCCAAACATTTGGAGATTGTCCAGATATCTTTTTTCTTGTACATTTCTAGCTTAAACCTATTAGAGAAAATACTTGGTCTGATTTGAATTCTTATGAAATTAAGATTTGTTTTATGAAAAAGACAACATCTGAAATAAAAAATTTACTCAATGGGCTCAGTAGCAGACTGGAGATGACAGAAGAAAAAATCAGTGGACTTGAAGATAGATGAGTATAAAAATGTGTTTTGAGCTTGAGCGACAGAGAAAAAAAAAAAGAAATGAGCAGAGCCTTAGGAACCTGTGGGACAATATCAGAAGTCTTTGGAGTCTCAAGAGGAGCGGAGAGAAATGTTCATTTGGAAGTACTAGCTGAAAATTGCCCAAATTTGGTGAGAGACATAAATTTACAGATTTCAGAAACTCAGTGAATACCAAATACAATAAACTCAGAGAAAATCATTTCTGGATACATCATAATTAAAGTTCTGAAAATTAAAAATAAAAATATAGCTATAGAAAATGACACATTATATATCTGGTAGAACAATGACAGATATATGTGGATTTCTCATGGGAAGCCATGGAGGCCAGAAAACATTGGAACAACATCTTTAAGATTCTTAAAGGAGTTGTCAATACAAAATTCTGTATCCAATGAGAATGTCCTAAATGCCACACCTGTGCTAAAAGGAGCACTAAAGGAAGTTCTTTAGACTATATAGAAATGATACTAAATGGAAACTGGGAACTTTAGAAGTGATGAAAGAGCTCCAAAAGTAGTAAGTTTTTTGGCAAATATAAAATACTGTTTTTCTACTCTTTAAAATATACATGACTGTTTAAATAAAAATTATGACTTTCTTGGATAGAGGTTTTTGTGTATATAGAGTAGTATATACAAATGAAACAAAGTGGAGAGGTAGTGGGAACTATTCGTTGGTAAGCTATCTGCATTTTACAGAAAAGTAGTGAAAACAGTAATACTAAATACACTGTGAAAGATTACGTATGTATATTACAACCCTAGAGCAACCACTGGGAAAAAAAGAGGACATATAGCCAAAAGCTGATAGATAAAATGAATGGAATATTTTTAAAAAATCAAATAACCCAAAAGAAGGCAGAAAAGGGGAATAGAGGAACAAACTCAGGGAGGACAAACAGGAAAAAAGATAACAAAATTGTAGACAGGAATCCAGCTATCTCAATAATTACATGAAATGCTAATGGCTTGAATACATCAATTAAAGGAGATTGCAATATTGGATACAATGTAAGAACCAAATATATGCAGTCTAAAAGAACTCCATTTAAATATAAGGACATACATAATCTGAAAGTTAAAAAGAGAAAAGGAGCTATACTATGGAGTGGCTATATTAATATCAATGTAGACTTCAGACCAAGGCCAGCGATGCCAGGGGACACTACATCAAGGGTCAGTGCCCCAGCTGACTGGGGCACTGATAGATATGTAATCCTAAATGTGTGCCCACAAACCACCAGTTACATGTAGAAAAACTGACAGAATTTAAAAAATAGAGAAACCCACAGTTCTATGTAGAAATCTCAACACTCGTACGGTAATCAGTAGAACAAGAAGACTGCAAACGAATAAGGATTCAAAAGACCTAAATAATACCATTAACCAGCTTGACCTCGTTGACATTTCTAGTACTGTTTTCATGTGCTTCAGTTTTGATTGTTGCTGTTGACCTGTCTTTGAGTTCGCCGATGCTTCTGCTGCTTATTTCTGATCTGTCTTTCCCACTTGGCTGCAGATTTCTACGTAGTGAGAACTGTGTCAAATTCTCCGTTTGCTTATTGCCAAGCAAAGGCATTGGCAGAGAGTGATTATTTGGTACCTAACTGTGGTTGGTGCAGCTTTCCAGCAGGCAGCAGGAAATAGGGACCTTCAACTCAGTGAGAGTGTACTCAAATTTTCTGAAAATAGATGTGGGAGAAATAAAAGATGTGAATGTTCTCTGTCTCTTATCTCTGATCAGTTTTGGTGGGTTGCTGAAAACAATAGATTTTTCAGAACGTTGTAAAGGTGATGTACACCTATTGTTAATTACTGACCTAAAATAAATATACTTCGAAACAAACCAGGGCTAATGAGCAGCTTCTAGATTTATCATAGAGATAATAATGAGGATGGTAGTAACAATGGCTAACATTGATCACTGATTTTCTAATATTTTGATGCATTGAACTCCTTTATCTAGACTTTATCTCAAAGGCAGCTATGCACATGTTTTAACCAAGAAAAAACAATCAAACTTTTAATTCCATCAAACATGCAGAAGCAACAATAGTCTATAGGATGACCACTGTGTGACTTCATATTTAACAAGAATTGCCTTTTCTTTTGAATTCTCAATACCCCTTGGCTAATTAGTGACCCTCTGTTTGATAAAGGTGATCAGAGAGATCTAAGCTGGAAGGCTGTCTTCACACGGAGTGCGTGCCTGCACAGACATCCGTAGCACATGTTGCTGCTGCTTCCTCTCTGTGACAGCTCCAAGAGCATCTTTTAAAAGAGAGAAATGGGGATCTGGGAATCAGGATGCCTGGCTCCCAGGCCCTTCTCTGCTCCTGGCTTGAGTGTTCTCTGGCAATTTTCTTGAGAGGCCAAATGGCCTAGTGGCTAATTGCATGGATTCAGCCTGCAAACTGCCTCTGTTTATGTCCTGGTCTGTGGTTTGCAATCCTCTCTGCACACGGTAGCCATCTCGGGGATTTCGTAAAAACTCTTCTTCCTCAGATCCTGATTTATAGATCCTGGACCTGGGTCTGGACATTGGTATTATTTTTTAAAGCTCCCAACCGAGACCAGTGAGGTGGCAGATTAAGAGCCACTGTGCTAGTTAATTGAGAACACAGACCCTGGGCTAATGGTCCTGGCTGTTCTGCTAGCTAAAATGAGACAGTAGCTTAAAATATTGATGCCTCAGTATTCTGAACTGTAAAAGGAGTTACAAATTGTACCTTCTTGGGTGGTTGTGGGATTAAATGAGGGAGTTCCTCTAAAGCATATGAGTTGGTCTTCTTATCACATTTTCTGCTTCCTCTCTTGCCCTAGGTACCCTCTAACCCTCATTCTGATTCAATAGTCTGATGACGCCTTTCTCTTTGAGTGGCAAATATAGCCCAGTCATCTTCCAGTGCAGAGATCAGCCCTCATTTTCTCCATTGAGCCCATCCATCCTCCCTCATTGTATATCGGTTTGAGGGCCCTTCCATGCCCTGTCAAAAAACCCCATGTACCCTTTACCCTGGCATCTATCTGGGTACCATATTCCTTTTAGAAGGTGACCCATAAATACTGGATAAGTGAAAGAAAACTCAGCTCTTTTACTGCTGATTATGTAGCCAAGTTCATACTTGTCCTTGGTAGTTGTGCTCACATCCTCTGGATTCTACAGCAGTGGCCAGGTGGAGGAGGAGCGGGCAGGTGTCTACTGGACTAGTGGAACTCTCTTTGAGGCGATGCTAAAAGGCTCTGCCTTATCCACAGTTCATGTTCAGATCCCTTTTTATAGTTTTGAGTTCTTTCTCTTCCACAGATAGCCTTAAAGCTGCCTGAGAACAGTAAACAAAGTAACAAACCTTGAGGAAGAACCATGAAATTAAACTCCTGATCTCCAGTCCTCCCCAGGGTCAAGCACTGAGCTGCTTTTCACAGAGGAGCACACGAAGCCCCACAAACAACCCTGCAGGTTAGGTGTTCTCATCACCAATGAGATTTTGTCAAATCTAGACGGAGGATCACATTTTTGTTTAATGTGAGAAAGAGAAACGTAGTAGTATCACAGGTTTCATTAGTCTTTTGTTATATCCCTGTGGGAAGATGGATGTACCGCTGAGCTTCCCCTGAGCTCAGGAAGAATATTTACTAGCCACTATATTTTTCATAAGGGTAGTCTCAATGTATATAGTATACCGTGGCAACAAATGAAAGTAAGAAGCCAGAGCTACAGATATAACTAGAAGTTAAGGGTGACTTTCCTGGGACAGAGTAGTAATCTCTGCTCTCCAGATGGCTTACAAAATACATTTGCAAGGGCAATTTTTATGATACAAAATGCTATCTGCACCTCTGCAGTTGCAAGGAAATAGAGATCCCTGGTGCAGTTATAATAGGTTTCCACTATGCACACAGAGAATCCTAATAACAATCATATATTGTTGGCACTGTGTGATCTGAATTTTGCAGATGACAGAACTGAAACATTAGAAAGGTTCATGAATTTAACTATGGTTACTCAGCAAGTATATAGTAGCACCAGGTTTTGAACATAGACATTTTGTCCCCAGAGTCCACTTTTAACCAGTACATGACATGCCACTGCCTTTCCTTTCCCACATCTCCCAGGATCAGAAGGAGCATGCTGGGAGCTGTAAGGCCCGTGAGGCTACCGGGTACAGCTGTACAGGTTGCTCCATGCATGAGGGCGCCCTGCCAGGAGAGCCGAGTGGTAGCTGGGATCTAGCCCATGCTACCTGCTCCTTAACACACGTCTGTGGCCACATTTGCTGGAGGAAGGGACACCTTTTTCTAATTTGCACAAAGATATATTTCCCTCTTAATCATGGCTTCTGTCGTATTACCCTGTTCTGCCTTCTCAGGTCTCTGCCTCTCCCTAGAAAAAGAAGGAGAAAATGATCAAATTTCAGGTGAGTTGGTTTTCATTTCAGCCATTTTACATGTGACCCCATTTCACAGTGAGTGGACACATCTTTTTCCCCCTTCTTTGCCAAGGGTAAAGAATGACTACAGGCATTCAGTATCATTTATGTGTCAGGCTCTTGCTTTTGTGTTTATCCTTTTCTGAAATTTCCTTTTAGTTTTAAATGTGTTTTATGATTTATTTTATAAATAATAGTATAAAAAAGAATAGAAATTTTAAAATCCCACACCTCATTACCCTGCTTACAAATCTGTTTTTGTTCATGGTCATTTTTTAAAAATATAACTGTTCTTGCAGTAATACATAACAATTTTGAATTGGGCTTTTAATCTGCTGAAAATAACAGCAGTTAATTTTTATCATCTAATACAATTGAAGTGAACTGTTGTTATCCCTCTCCCTACTTTTCTTGAAATTATTTCCAACTCACAAACTTTTAAGTTCTGAAGGATTATTGCAGTTTTACATGGCAGAATCAGTTTCCTACAGATAATCTTGACTCAAAAAGCAGTTCTGAGAGAATTTTGATATTATTTGTCCATAATGTTCTAGGGACACAAACCTAAAAATATTTTCTCTGAAGTGATGTCTCAGTGGAAAACATAAAATTAGGTTTTGTCTAACAAGATTACATTGCAGGTAAAATTGGGGGGAAAATAGATGTTTTTGTATAAGAAGAGCTAGATTCTTCTTAGAACCTGAAGCTATGTGTGTACCTGTATATGTTTGTATGTCTGTGTGTTTCATTATTCATGTATTAATTTTATTAAAGTAATACAGGCACTTAGTTTAAAATTTATTCATGCGATAGGATGTATAGGCGCTTTCTATCTGTCACACTATGCATGGCCCCAGATGACTGTCAGAGAGGGACTGTAGAGTCATTTGCACTATTACCTTGAAGATCAGAGGTTCATGTTCATAGAGGAAGAAGAAGAGTGTCTGGCCAACTCTAAAGCTTTTTTGCCTTCTGGGTTAAGAGTTTCAGGTATATCATTTGGGTGGAAATACAGACAGAAAAAGCAAAGCAAACTAAAGCAGAGTTCTGCACTCAGAGCTGAAGTTGTTATGCTCAGAACTGCAACCAGAAGAAATACGGGACTGAACTGGTGTTCATTTAAAAATTTAAAATTATCCTACAGCAAAATGTTACAAGACAGCAAAGTGGAATGAAAAAATATTTACAATGTCCATGAAAGAAAAGACCTCAGTGTCCTCCAAATGAATTATTATCACAAAACAGGAATTAGAGATGAACAGCAAATGTGTGTAAAGAGAATGAGCTTCATTACTAATAAGTTTGTGAGAATTTTTTTAATAACTGGTTTTTATTTCCCAGATTTACTTCTGAGATTATGAAAGATTTCTTTAAAAGCTTTTATATCCAGTATTGACTAGGATTTATGCTTTCTTGGAAGAAGGCTAAGATGGAAAAGATCTGTTTTGGGAAAACACCTGCCATTATAATTTCAGAATTTTAAAGGTTATTATTCTTCAACATTGCCATTTCTACTTTTTGGTATTTGTTTTGACAAGGTAATCAACAGAATTCCAGGGGCTAAGGTCTATGAAAAAGATTGTTTTTGCAACATTTTTCATATAGGTAACCTAAAACTAAGTGTGCATTAGTTGGATCAAATCATTGTATTCTAGATAATTAGTTCCTTGAATCACTTTGCAGGCCAGAAATGGGAGAGAAGATCTGATGAAAATATTCATAATATGGCTAACATTTGTTGGACACTTATCATTTGCCAGGCACTGTTTTTCAGTGCTTTACATGTGGTCACTCATTTTATTACTAGGACACTATGGTGTAAATTTCACCATACAAATGAGAAGACAGGAAACCTGTCCAAGATGGTAGAGCTAGCACTGGGCAGAGCGCCCAGATCCAGACACAGGCAGTCAGGCTCCAGAGCTGTGCCCATCACTGCAACAGCATACACACTACCATCTCCAGATGGACACAGAGGATGAGCTACGTATTCAAGCAATAAGGATGACTGATACCCTGTAAATTTGGCAAATTAAGTAAGTGATGTGTGTGTGTAAACAAGAAACAGATAGCATCAGTCACTGTCAGAACTAAAGCTTTTGTGGAGCAAATGACATTATTAATACAATTTAAAATATTGGTAACCTAGGACGCAATAGAGTTCCAGGGGCTTACTTATAACAGTGCTAACAAAAGGAAGTAATTTGAAGTGCAAGGATTTCTTTTCTTGCAGCCCTTGGTGAATGGTATTAGCATTATAGAAAGCAAACAGAAAAGAACTATGTAAATTTGACTCGAGTTGCCCAGAATCCAGAACAGCTTCCCATCCCTTACATTTTCTCAGCACTGCCCCTCTTCTGTAAACACAGTGTGTATGTGTTTGGTATTGTAGGAGATGGTGACATTCAAGGATGTTGCTGTGGTTTTCACCGAGGAGGAGCTGGGGCTGCTAGACTCTGTTCAGAGAAAGCTGTACCGAGATGTGATGCTGGAGAACTTCAGCAACCTGCTCTTAGTAGGTGAGCTTAGGTGCCATTAGTAACAACGGCAGCCTCCTGGGGTGTCTTCCTGTGCTCAATTGTTAAAAACTCTGAAGCCCCTGAAGTTATTCTCTGAGCTTGGGTACTGAGAGTCCTAATAATCCCTGTGCAACAGAGACAAGATGGTTCTCTCCAGTCTATCCTTGGAATAGTAAAAATGGTCCTCCTTCATTAATTTGCCATCAAACAGTTTAATAAGTTGTTCCAGGTTAGTAAGTTTATGAAAAATAACTTTTCAGGGCACCAGTAACTGTTGATGAAGTTTAGAGGTTTTTTTTTTTTTTTTGAATAATGTATTTGTAAATAACTGTAAATTCACAGAAAACTTACAAAAGTAAAAAGACAAGAACACCCTTATAGATTCATTGAAATTCTACCTAGATTCACCTCTAATAACATGTTATCCTATTTGCTCTATCATTTATGTTCATGTTCTTTCTCTATATATACATACTATATGTGTATATGAATATATATATATATGGTCATAATAACTTTTTCTGAACCACTTGAGGGTAAGTTAATATACCACAGCTGTATTTTATATATATAAATATATATATTTGGCATTATGTATAAAATATATGTATATATTTATATGTGTAAAATAAAGCCAACCGTATATACATTTGGCTTTATTTTATACATATAAATATATGTTTTTAATAAAGCCAAATATATATATAATTTTTGTATAAAATACATTTTATACAAAATATATAAAATATAAATAAAATGTATATATAATATAAATATAAAATATGTAAATATGTATATTATAAATAAAAGCCATATATGTGTGTGTGTGTATATACATACAAATATACACCCATATAAATATGTACACATATGAATAGATGTTCAGTTTTATTCAAAATAAGAGAAATGTTCATTAAAATTATACTGAAATGCCATTGCTCACCCATGAGATTGGCAAAAATTCCAAAACTTGACACTATACATTTTTCAGCAAAGCTGTCAGGAATGAAGAACTCTCATGCATTGAAAGGAAGAATGCAAAATGATACTGCCCTTAGGGAGGGGAAGTTGACAATATCTAATAGAGTTACGTATTTAGCCTTCCCCAGCAATCCATTTCTAGGAATTTTCCCTAAAAATAGCCATGTGCAAAAGAGTATTAATAGTATACTAAAATTCATGTAAGAAATAAGGTAAAATAAGTAAATAGAGAGTGTGTGGGTACAGATACATATACTCTTGCATATGGCTTTATATGTGTATATGTATATGTATCTATATATGTATATAGATACATATAAATAAAATAAGCATGTACATGCTTATTTTTACAAGAAGGAAGGTTTAATCAAAATCATGGCTAGGCGTGGTGGCTCACACCTGTAATCTCAGCACTTTGGGAGGCCAAAGTGAGAGGATCGCTTGAATCCAAGAGTTCAAGACCACCCTGGGCAACATAGGGAGACCCTGTCTCTACAAAAAAATTATCTGGGCATAATGATGTGCACCCATAGTCCCAGCTACTATAGAGGCTGAGGTGGGAGAATTGCTTGAACCTGGGAGGTTGAGGCTGCAGTTTTAGTGAGCCATGATCATGCCACTGCATGCTGGCATGGGCAGAAGAGTAAGAGCCTGTTTCAAAAAAAAAAGAAAAAAAGGAAATCATGAAGTTAGTTTCTTACAGTGGATGGGAGGCAACAGTGGAGGGGATGTGGGAGAAAGTCACACTTGTCTGTGTCTACCTTTTTGTCTAGTTGTGACAAGTTGAACGTTATCAAACTTAAAGACTTTTGCTCTCCTTGCCTCCTTTACAGCACATCAGCCCTTCAAGCCAGACCTGATATCCCAGTTGGAGAGAGAAGAAAAGCTTTTGATGGTAGAGACAGAAACACCAAGAGATGGGTGTTCAGGTGAGAACTGTGATGCAGGAACACAGCAGCCAGAGAGCCCCTTCTTGAACATGAGTCAGAACACATCACTTCCTTGTTTAAACTTTCCCGTGGCTCCCCATTTCACACACAGTAAGTTTAAAGTACTTAAAATGACCCATTCTGTCCTAAGGTGTTTGTCCCCGTAACCTCTTCTCACTTCCTGTATTCACCTACTATTGTTAGTTGTTGCTCATTCAGTCTGTTTCAGAGGCACTGCCCCTCAGACCTCTCAATTATGCTTCTGTGTCACTTTCTTTGACTTGCTTTTCTCTCTGAATGAATTGAGTAATAGATACATGATCTTTGCTCTCTTCATTTCACCTTGAGACAGCTCATAGGTGTATAATAAATCTATGTAATTGAAGGGTATTCCAGAATATTGTTTCTCATCTAATGGATGCCTGTTCTAACTGCTTAGCTGTCCTTGGGTATTCATAGATAGGTAGCCATTAATCCCAAAAGATAAGAATAGCCGGTAAAGCTAAAGTAAGTATCAAAAATGACCAATGCTAACATTACAACTGGTCTTCCTCATGTAGCATTTTCAAGTGAGACACCCTTGTATTCATATGTCCAGCTTCTTATCCTCCCATTCTGTCCCATCCTCTCACACCCAAAGTCTCTTGACATAGCCACAGTCTTAAAGTAGAATTATCAAGTTGGACATTTATGTGAATCCAAACATTTTGATAGTTTCTTGAGTCCTCAAAACTCTGATATCAAAAGCCACTGTTGCCACTGTGTATCTAAGGATGATGCTGGGTAAGAAGAAAGGATCAACAGAAAATTCAAAACAAATTAACTCACTTCTATAATTGTTTGTTTCCATCTTGATTAAGATTCAGGGTAATGCATGGTACCCTAAGTAGGAGTTAAACTTTTTCTCTAAAGATCCCAGTAGTAAATACTTTAGGTTTTGCTGGCCACCTGTGCTCCTTGTCACATAATCTTTGTTTTCCTTACATCACTTCAAAAACGTAGAAAGTATTCTTGGTTCCTGGGTTGTACAAAAACAGGCCAAGGCAGTGCCAATCCCTCTTCCTGATACTATCAGCTGGAACATAATATCACCTTTTAAAATACCTTAATTTTTTTTTTTAACCTATACTAACACGGTCACATATCTTATCTTAATGTAAAAATTTTATATACATTCTTATTTTTAATATACTATTTTTTCTTCTTTGCTGTTACCTTGAGGAAATCCCTCCCAGTCTAAGATTATAACTCTTGTTTTTGTACTGGATGCATAATATTCTAATAAACAAGCTAGTTACTTCCAAGATACAAGGGGGTACAGCCACTGGGTAAATGCCTCCATTCCAAAAGGGAGAAATCAGCCAAAACTAAGGGGCTACACGCCCCATGCAAGTCTGAAACCCAGCAGGGTAGTCATTAAATCTCAAAGCTCCAAAATAATCTCCTTTGACTTCATGTCTCACATCCAGGCCATGCTGGTGCAAGGGGTGGGTTCCCAAGGCCTTGGGCATCTCTTCCCCTGTGGCTCTGCAGAGTGTAGCCCACTTGGCTATTTTAATGGGCTGGTGTCAAGTAACTGCAGCTTTTCCAGGCACATGTTGCAAGATGTTGGAGGGTCTGGGGTCTGGAGGACGGTGGTTCTCTTCTCACAGCTCCACTAGGCAGTGCCTGAGTGGGGACTCCGTGGTTTCAAACCCACCATTTTCCCTCAGCATTGACCTAGTAGAGGGTCTTCCTGAGGTCTCCACCCCTGCAGCAGACTTCTACCTGCATATCCAGGTGTTTCTATACATACTTTGAAATCTGGGTGGAGTTTTCCAAGCCTCAGCTCTTGCCCTCTGCACACCCACAGGCCCAACACCATGTGGAAGCTGCCAAGTCTTGGGGCTTGCACCCTTTGAAACAACAGCCTGAGCCTTGGCCTCTTTTAGCCATGGATCGAACTAGAGCAGCTACAATGCAAGGTACCATGTTCTTAAGCTGTACGAAACAGTGGGCCCTGGTGCTGGCCCACAAAACTATTTTTCCCTCCTGGGCCTGAAGGCCTGTGATGGGAGGGGCTGCCATGAATGTCTCTGAAATGCCCTGGAGACATTTTCCCCATTGTCTTGGCTGTTAACATTCAGCTCCTCTTTACTTAGGAAAATTCCTGCAGCCTTTAATTTCTCCCCAGAAAATGGGTTTTTCTTTTCTACCACATGGTCAGGCTGCAAATTTTCTAAACTTTTATGCTCTGCTTTTTTTTTTTTAATATAAGTTCCAGTTTCAGATAATTTCTTTGCTCATGAATATGAGCATATGTTGTGAGAAGCAGCCAGACTACATCTTGAATACTTTGCTGCTTAGAAATTTCTTCCACCAAATACCCTAAATCATCTCTCTCAAGTTCAAAGTTTCACAGATATTTGGAGCGGGGGCATAATGATGCCAATCTCTTTGATAAAGTATAGCACCAATATTGGGAAAATGTATAAATGCATTTACAGCCCTAAATATATATAAATATATCACCAGTTTCAGTTCCCAGTAACTTTCTCATCTTCATCTGAGACTGCCTCAGCCTGGACTTCACTGTCCATATCATTATCAGCATTTTGGTCAAAACCATTTACAATTCTCTAGGAGGTTCCAAACTTTCCCTCATCATCATATCTTTTTCTAAGCCCTCCAAATTATTCCAACCTCTGCCCATTACCCATTTCCAAAGTCACATCCACATTTTCAGGTATCTTTATAACAATGCCCCACCTTTCTGGTACCAATTTTCTTTATTCATATGTTCTCCCATTGTTATAAAGAACTACCTGAGACTGGGTAATTCATAAAGAAAAGAGGTTTAATTGACTCAGAGTTCGACAGGCTGTACGGGAAGCATGGCTGGGGAGGTCTCAGGAAAGTTAGAATTATGGTGGAAGGCAAAGGGGAAGGAGGCATATTTTACATGGCAGAGAAAGAGGAAGAGAAAGAGAGTAGGGAAGTGCTACACACTTTCAGACAACCAGATCTCATGAGACTCTATCGTGAGACAGCACTTGGGGGATGGTGCTAAGCCTTTAGAAAGCACCTTCATGATCCAATCATCTCCCACGAGGCGTCAACGCCAACATTGGGAATTAGAATTCAATGTGAGATTTGGGTGGGGACACAGAGCCAAACCATATTATTGGTTAAGAGAGGAGTCAGCAACGAAGCTTAAATATTTGTGATCAAAACATTATCACCACTGTACCTTGTAGTACCCACAAAAATGCCTTAGTTTCTCTATCTGAAAGCAAAGTAAGAATGGAAGGTGATCTCTGCCTCGGTTACCTGAGGTGATGTTCTCACGTAGCTTTTATTAATGGAGAAAAAAAAAAATTTTTTTTTCTGAGTTCATTATAGCTAACTATTAAATTCAAAGAATTATTCATTTTCATGACAAATATAGCACCTTTGTTATTGAATTGATTGATTTAGGATACTTGAATGATTGACTTTCTCAACCTCTAAGTGCTAAAGCAGGATTGCTATGAAGAAGTAATAAATTCTCAATCTTCTTACCTCAGGTGACATCTTCAGCATCTTTTGTCGTGCTTTTTCTCCATCAAATAAAGTTCATTTATAAACAACACAATTTCTTATCACCACTCTACCATTGATACTGAAATAGAACTTAAATGTTGATATATGAAAATGAAATAACAAGGTGTTTCAGTCTATACCATTCACTAAAGGAAATTAATGTTATTACATGTGTGGTCTTTTCTAGAAGAGTTTGAAACAAAGTGAAGTGACCTTTTTTTTTTCTTTCTCTGTGTCCTTAACATTGCAAAACCCACTGGTCAGAGAGAAATCTCTTATATATTTGAGAGATTTTTATATCATGAATTATGTACTAATTTGCATTGAAAGAGTTGCTTTGTAAGAAATTTGGTTTTGACTAACAAACTGCTTTCATGTTCTCAAGCCACGTCAGCCCCAAAAGACAGGACATATGAAACTGTATCTTTATGGATGTATATTGAGTGTTTTTTATGCAAGTAAAACCCAACTACAAGCATTATAATTAACCGTTGCCGGAAGCCCAAACTTCTCACATATAAGCTGTATACTTTGTGTGCCTCTATTAATATATCCCTTTATTTCATCATTATATGATAAAATAGCATTATACCTGAAAGCTTCACTTTTGAGAAGGCAAAGACATCACTAAATGTGCTTTTAAAGTACCAAGATATGTACCTGTGGATGTACCTTCAAGTATTATCCCACAATCAGTGTGCTGCCCCAGAGCCTAGTGACACAGAGTCATCAGTATGACCTTTTCTTTTTTCCCATTTTAAAATTTAGATTAGGGTAGGGCTTACAGATAAGATTTTGTTCAAGAAAAATGACACCATTTTGGTTTTTTTTGAGACAGAGTCTTGCCATGTTGCCCAGGCTGGGGTGCAGTGGCCGTTTACAAGT